TGGGCAGGTGGGCACTCTGCCCAAGACCCTCACCCAGGCTGCTCCCACCGTGCTGTGCCGAGCAGACCAGGTGTGCTGCATGCTTGTTGTCCTGCCCTGCCACTGGTCTGCACCCCTTCCTGCCTGCCCCCAAGCCCTGCACTGTGTCTGCCTGTCTTCCAGGACCCCCCCGCCTTCACGGTGCGCCCCAAGGAGGAGTACTTCCAGGAGGTGGGCAGGGAGCTGGTGATCCCCTGCGTGGCCCATGGGGATCCCCCCCCAGCTGTCACCTGGCTGAAGGTAGGAGCCTACACTCTGGGGAACCAGCTGAGCCCTCCTGGGAGGGGGACACTGCTTGTGGACTCTGGGCATCACTCTAGGGCAGTGTCTCCACAGATGCTGCAGGATCACGTCTCTCCTGGTTCCTGCGGGCAAAGGGGTTCAGGGCACTTTGCTTGTGTTGCCCTCTAAGAAACCAGGGCAAAATCCTGCCCCTGAGCTCCTAAACCAGCCCCAGGGTGGTGGATCACGTCAAGTCCCCGTTTTCCTTGAGGGCCTGGTGTTGTAGGGTTGCTGCAGAGCAGCTGTCCCAGCCCTGCGGTGGGGTGGGCTGGGTGGCTGCCCACAGTCAGCATGTCTGTGCCTTGTCGTGCAGGTGGGCAGCGTGGGGAAGAGCAGCGCCCAGGTGGATGGGAACAGCAGCCTTGTCTTCCGCCCGCTCATCAAGGAGCAGCATGGGGTCTGGGAGTGCATGGCTACCAACCAGGTGGCCAGTGTCAGCACCACCACCTCGGTCCATGTGCTGGGTGAGTTGCTGGTCCCTGGTGGGCAGGCATCGTTGATGGATGCTGCTGCCCTGGGATGGATGATATCAGGTTGACGATATCAGGTGGAAGGGGTGGAAAGGCCCCTGCATGGATGTTTTCCAAGCTGCCCATTCTGATAGGCCTTCTCTCTGCTTCCCCTGCCAGGTACCAGTCCTCACGCTGTCACCAACATCTCTGTGCTCCCACTCCTGCTGGCAGCCAACATCTCCTGGGAGCCAGGGTTTGACGGAGGTTATTTCCAGAGGTTCAGCGTCTGGTACACACCACTGTGAGTCTCCACTGCGGGCAGGGTCTGGTGTCCCACCTGGGGCCCTCAGCTCTGGACTCATGGGTCTCACATCTCCTCAGGGTGAAGCATCCACCCCGGGCCCATCATGACTGGGTGTCACTCTCGGTGCCAGTGGGGGCTCAGCACCTCTTGGTGGAGAATCTGCAGCCAGACATGAGCTACCAGTTTAGCGTCCTGGCCCAGAACAAGCTGGGCAGTGGGCCCTTCAGCCAGATTGTCACCTCCGTGCCCAAGGGTAAGAGGGGGCCCATGTGCTCCCCAAAGCAGCCCCCATCCCTGCAGAGCCCTCAAGCACATGGGAGGCTCCTGTTTCTGCCCTGCTGTCCCCCCGCATCAGCTCCCACACCAGTGTCCCTTTATCCTCAGGCTTCCCAGTGACCACAGTGCCTCCGGAACCACCGGCCATGACCATGAGCATCTTCCTGTCCCCACCGCAGGCTCTGACTGCCAACGAGACTGTGCGTGGGGTCCTGCTGCAGTGGGAGCCCCCATCTCGGTTCTCGGTGGCACTGAGCGGCTATGCGCTGGAGCTGCGGCAGGACAGGGGTGGCTGGGAGGTGCTGGACCGCTCCATCCCCAGCACGAAGACTCAGGTCCTGGTGCCAGGACTCATCAAGGTGAGAATCTCACCTGGCTGCAGGGCAGCTCTCGGGGAACACAGCAAGGGAGGGGGTCAGATCTGTGTCGCTGCTATCTGGAGCTGGCACATCTGGCGAGTGGCTCTGCAGCCCTGTGCCAACAAGGTTAATGGCCCTCTGCTCCCTCAGGACGCCTTCTACGAGTTCCGACTGGTGGCCTTTGCTGGCAGCTACATCAGCGATCCCAGCAATACAGTGAATGTCTCTACAGCAGGTAAGGCCTGGGCTGACACCCACTTGCTCTTCCTGCCCTGGGGACAGAAACCAGAGGTGTAAAATGCCTGGCATGATCTAGGATCTTCCCAAACAGAAACCCCTTCATGCTGCTCCCACCCCCAAGTGTCCCTGCTGCTAGACCAAGGGGACACAGTGCCCAGAGCAGGACCCCCAAAGCTAATGCCGCGGGAACACCCATCTCCATGTGTGGATCTGGCGTGACTTTGGTCTCATGGACCAGGTAGCAGGAGAGCTCTGCGTAGAGCATCCCTGCTCCTGGCACCGAGCACAGCAGAGGGCACGGGTCTGCCCAAAGGCAGACCAACCCCGAGGGGCGAGAGAGCCAAGGCTTTGCTGGTTATCCCTGTGGTGCTGGTGACATGAGGGAGGCTGTGCCCACTGTACTGGTGTGCTCTTGGGGTAACTGAGCCTCTGATGGCATCTCCTGTCTGGCCCAGGCATGGAGGTGTATCCATCTCGCACCCAGCTGCCAGAGCTCCTGCCACAGCCGGTGCTGGCCGGGGTCATCGGGGGGATCTGCTTCCTCAGTGTGGCTGTCATCTTCAGCACCATGGCCGCCTGCATCATGAACCGCCGGCGTGCCGCCCGTATCCAGAAGCGAAGACAAGGTAGGAGCTGCTGGCCAGACGCAGGCACCTGGATCCCAGGGCTCCCAGAGAGCTCGAAGCACCATGTGCAGGGCGGCAGGACCCAGTGCCCAGGGAGGGGATAAGCCAGCCCAGGGCTGGGGGGGCTCACCAGGGGTGGTAGTAGGGCTGAGTGGGTGCCACTGCCTCCTCATCATCACTTTGCATTGCTTGCCATGTGATCCCCTTGTGTTTTCATAACCTTCTAGATCCACCACTCGTCTTCTCCCCCAGCAAGAAGCTTCCACCTCCACAGTAAGTCACACCATGCCATGCTCCCTCCCTGTCTCGCTACACTCCCCATCATTCACTTGCCGCTGGCTGGGGGCGGAGGGACTGGCCAGGGAGCAGCCAGCCCCCCAGCCACCACCGGCTCGCCCCGGGGCCCAGCCAGCCCCCCAGCCACCACTGCTGGCCAAGGACTGGCTGCAGAGCAGCTCTTCGGAGTGGGGTGCTGGGATCAAGGTGTGCCATGGGGTAGGGCTCCCCTGGGGTGCTCCCTTTGGGGAGTTTTGGCTGAAGAAAGGATCAGAAAATGCAGGAGCAGGTCTGTCGAGCCCATGGTAGCAGTGCAGGGTCACAGTACCCGCTGCAGATGCCTAGCACAAGCTCTCCCAGCACGGGGGGCAGCCGGATGAGCCCAGAGCCAAGACGGAGGTGCTGCAGCAGCTCCCTTCTTCCTTACAGCAATTCTCATGGCTCTGGTAGCCCAGACAGCACCGTGAAGCTAAAGCTGCAGCCGTCTCCCTACCGGAGCCTGCGCCGGACACTGCTGTGGGGTGAGAAGGCCGGCACCAGCCTGGGTCTCAGTATCGCCGGGGCTGGCTCCCAGTACACTGTGTATGAGAGCCACGTTGGGGAGCACGTACCCCTGGAGCGGATCTGCCGCGGTCCCGATGGGCGCTTCGTGGTGGAGACTGACAAGCGGCTACAGGAGAGCAGCTTCAGGGCACTGCCCCATGCCGAGGCAGAGCCATACGCCCCACGGGATCCCCCGGGGCCGCAGCCAGAGCCCTACCTCCAGCTGCCCACAGA